TGTAGACACTGAACCTTGCATGCAGATGACAGTGCTGTGTTTTGTCCCCTCTCCACAGCTACCGCCAGAGAGCTCAGAAGCTGTCCGAAATCCATAAGGACCAGCCTGGCCACCCTGTAAACCGCACTGTCTACTGGATAGACTACATCCTTCGCCACAATGGAGCGCACCACCTGCGGGCCGCTGTGCACCAGATCTCCTTCTGTCAGTATTTCCTACTGGACATCGCCTGTGTGTTCTTCCTCAGTGCTGCCTTGGTTTACTTCCTCTTGTCCTGGGTCACAAAATTTATCTACAGAAAAATCAGAGGCCTGTGGTCTAGAAGTAAGCATAGCACGGTTAATGGACACTATCACAATGGAATCCTGAATGGCAAATACAAAAGAAATGGCCATATTAAGCATGAGAAGAAAGTGAAATGAGCCAGAAGCCCAGGTGATGGGAACATATGTGTTCAGTCATTGAATTCTTATTGCAATAATTTAGTCTAACAGCTACTAAAAATAAAGTGTCAGAAACAAGTCTAATCCTCCCTTATCGGATCTTACTAATGAAATTCTGTGTAATTAAGATGGATGTAAGCAGCACAAACCTAAAATGCAAAAATGTATTTTATTCAAATACTGATGCAGAGTTTTGGCACTGAACCTTTTAGAAGCCTTAATTATTTAAATCAGTTAAGTGACTATGTCAGACCTTAGTTTTAAATCTTGATGTGTGTTTGTCACAGATAAGCAGTGGTTTCTTTTCTCTTGGGGTGTGTGTGTGTGTGTGTGTGTGTGTGTGTGTGTGTATGTGTCTCATAATTCAGAGTGTTGTGGTTAGCTGCTTATTGTCAGGGTACAACATTCAAGAATGATGTAAAAAGTTAGGGCCCATGTGTTTCTCCCCCCCAGCATTTCCCATGTGTGTACTCAACATGGTGAAAGAACACTTTTTCTTAGCACTGAATGCAGAGGAAGGAAATGAAAAGAGAAATGACACAGCATTTCATATTTTTTATTTTATTTTTTTTTTCTTTTACTTCCCAGTTCTTAGGGCTACAAAGATTTTCAGGATAAAACATATAATTAAGGAAATATATAAATTTGTTACCACATTTTACTTTAATTTTCTCCCTAAATGAATATTGTCAGTAATATTCCACTGGAAGAATTATATAGTTTTTCTGTTTTGTTTTAATGCATAATGTGTTCAGTGCATAACTAAGACAAAACAACAAAACTCTGACTTTTGTCCAAACTACAAAAGAGTATCACTCAGATGACTGTTGCAAACAGGGCCAGGACTGGAATATTTACTGTACCTGTCTGAAAGCTTCCCGCACTGTATATCTGGAGTACTCAGGTGTTACAGTTCCAGAGTTTTAACCTGAACCACCATCTTTTTCATCCCCTCTATTGTGTGAGCCACACAGTCAGTAGCACACAGGTGCCAACAGTTTATTTGTTTAAAGTGAAATGCTGGGGCTTTTTCCTGGTATGGTTTTGTCTGCAGAAGCACATGATACACAGACCTGACAGAAATTCTCCTGTTCATGTAGAAGACTTTTCCTTCTCACTTCTGCAGCCCCAACTCAACAGTCTTTTCTATGAGCCTGGCTGAGACAGGAGAGTGACAGTATTCATTTAGAGCAAGGACGCAAGTCACAGACACCAGAAAGTTCGGTTCTCCCACTGAGGCATTCACTAGGCAGCAGCTGTAAGTTTATCCCATGTCATTCTGTTTACTTAGCATTTGCACTACACACTTGAGTTTATGCTTTATTTATTTGTAGATTGAAATCTTGTGTCTGACAGCTGAGAATAGCAGAGTACATATACCTAAGTCATTTACTAACGTGGAAGAGTTGTGCAAATTCTAGAATGCTGTGAGTCCTTGTCATACACGGTGACATATGGCTTTATTATTCTCCCACCAGGAGCCAGTCTCCTATAGTAGAAATAATGTCACAAGTAGTTTTCTAATGCCTATGCAGACACATGTACTGCTCTCTGAATACTTGAAGAAATGGTATCACATATAGAAGCCTGTTAGTTATACCTTTCACAATCTTTCCATAACTTTGCCGTTAAAAGGGAAAAGCACAGGCAATGAATGGTGGGATGGTAGCAGGACTTTAGAGTGTATGAATGAGGTGATTTTGCTTTTTTGGAATTTGATGAAGTTGACAGTAGGACTAGTGGGATGAATGAGTGAATATAAGTTAATCTCCACTGTGATAAAAACTTTAATAAACATGATTTAAAATAGAGAAATGTTGTTGGAATAAAATTTTTATTCAGATTTTATTATTTGTTATTGTATGTATTCATTATAAACATGTTTCTAAGACAGGTCACCCAACTTTTGTATGTGTATTCGAGTGTGAAAATAATGTATTAAATGTGAGAATGTATTTCTGTTATTTAACAGAGGGGTTACAAGTACATCAACATGGACCTTAAGCTTCTGTCCCAGAAGTAAGAATGTTAAACATAGGCATTTACTGCTCATTGTTATTTTATGTTTCCCAGAAGCTTCTTGTTAGATAGTTTGGGTAGAGTATTTTTTAAATTTTCACAGATGAGCCAGTTTCTCTAATAAAGTTTAGTTTTCAAGAAGGTACTTTTCATTTATTTTTTAGAAAGGGTCTCCAATACTGTTTAAACATTTCCATAATTGATTATCATAATGCTAGACACAAGTGATAACAGTGTAACTTCTGATATTCCCCCACATAGATACAGCAGCAGGATTTGGAGGTCCAAGATAGGAGAAAGCTAATGTTTTAAGTTAAAGCAAAATACTTCTAAAATTGAAGACTCTTCTTCAGAAACAAAACTGAGCAAACAACCAAATTTAAAAACGAGAGAATGAAAGTAAGTTGAGAAAGAGCTTTAAGTGATAATTTAGTGATTTTTATTGAAAACATAATTCATTTTTTATTCTTGCCACTAAGTAATTCAACTAGCTTGTAAATGTAAAATCACACTTAAGAATATTTATTTTCAGTTGGCATAGTCAACAACTTGAAATAGAAAACTTATTTTATGTGATGAGGTTTGATAATAAAAATAATTGATTTTTTGAAATCTTTCAAAAATATACGTTGGAGAACTTCTCCCTGCTTCTGAGATGGTAGCTTTAGCCAGCTATTTACATAATTAGGGCCGGCCAAATAGCCCAGTGGATAAAAGGGCCTACGAGCAGGTGCAGGGGTCAGAAGTTTGATCCCTGGCCCTGCCCCCAGGGCGCACTGAGATGGCAATTGAGACTGGGTGTGGTGGCCTGTGCCTGTAATCCCAGCTCTTGGGAGGCTGTGAACAGGGAGATCACTACGAGTGATCTAGTCATGAGACCCTGAACACCTTGTAGACCCGTAAAATACAAAAAAAAGAGAAAAAGAAGAAAGAAAAGGAAAATTGACATAATTCATGCAAGGATGCTATTGATATTTTTGGTAGATAACAGAAACATAGTTAAGGCAAATCTTAGTAAGAAATGCTTAGAAGTCCACGGGAGTACTCATTTTCATTTTTCTACAAATCCTGCAAAATATTGCAGGTCCTCAGTTAAATGTTCCAGGTCTTTGGTCACTTGGTGTTCAGGTTTCTGGATCAGGTCTGCCAACCACATGTTAGTGATCTGACTACTAATGCTCTTACTGTTCTAAAAGAAAATGTGGAAGCCAAGACGCACACATTAGTTGTGATCTTTGTGTGCACTGGTTCTCTCAGGTACCTCAGACATGATTTGAGGAGACTCACATTGCAATCTGATAAGCTGCATAGATAGTATAATAAGATGAGAATATTTTCAGTAGAGCATAACCTATTTCAGGTTGAGAAATTACTACCATTATGTAAAATTGCAGCTACTGAAATAATTATTTCATAGAAGTCCAACACCAACATTACTCTCAGGTGTTACAGGAATTAAAAAGATATTTCAGGTATTAAAAAGCATCTTCATTCCCTTAACCAATAAAACTTGAATTTCCTGCTGAATTTTATAGAATTAATAGTATTATATTACTTTCAACAGTAAGTTTATGAGTTTCCAGTAAGCCTATTTTGTATAATAGGTGATAATTCCCTATTGTAAAAGACAGAATTGGAGTGTTGTTAAGTCACTATAGTTATCTATGCTTTCTAAAGATAATTTTACAAGATAGTGATTCCTTAGTTGTAATATCAGGATCAAACTTCCATTTTTTAATTTTTTTGGCTTTATTAGCATTTTATTTTAAAATTACTAATACATATTTGCCAGAGAAGGCTGGGGAGATAGCTCAGTAGAATAAGTGTTTGCCTGACAAGCGCAGGGGCCTGAGTTCAATCCCCGGTTCTGAAAAACAAACAAACAAACAAACAAACAAACATATTTTCCAGAGAAATAATGAAAATAATAATATACTTTGCCCAAAATCAACTAGTTTCTGCAAAAAGTTTCTAAGATAGATTGCATTTCTTGTTCAATTTCAAAAAAAATAATGGTTCCCTAAATAAAAACATTTATAGTCAGTCCTACAGCTCTATGGTAAACACTAAAAAGAAAATACAAAAAATAATCTCTTGGCTTCTGAATAGCTCACTTAGTTACATAAAGTGTTCTCTGTTACAATATTTTATCAATTTCAAAAGATGTTTACTTCAAACAGGACTAACAAAATCTTCATTTCAAACTTAGTCTGTTTCTATGGTAACATTGCGGGGACTCCTTGGCTACCATAAGTCGCATCAGCTGACTGTGGAACTTCTCAATCTTCTTTACATCTTGAGCTTGATCTGCTCTGTACACCAAACAAATTAAATGATCTGTTACTTTGTTACACAGATTTCCATTAACATGACTATATTTGAGAACCGCTTGTGCCCTCTCGGGTCTGCGAGGTAGAACTTCTCAGCCGCACAACTGAGCCCCTCCCACATCTGATACTGCGGTGTCTCCGCCCGGATTTGGGCTCTTGCTGTTAGTTCACCAGCCGCCAGAACCCCCCAAAAGGGTGATGCTGCTCATGATCCACATTTCCAATTAGATTTAAAAAAAAAATTGCAATCAGGACAAGTTTTTTTTTAAAATGTACTTTCTTTATGTAAGTAAATATTTTTATATTGAATTTACTCTTCCTTGGCACAGAGTTGCATTGGAGATATGTCATATTTTGAAAAGGTGAATTTATGTTTGTGACAATTCTGTTTCTCTTATATAACTTTGCCTGAAACTTTCAACTATTCCTTACTTTTAGTAGAAAATAGCAACTTTGGAATACAAATATATTGGTGAATTCATGTAACATTAAATTTTAAGTTAGCAATATGTGCTTAATTTATGAAAAAGTAGTGCCAAGGGTGCTTAAAAATACCAACATGAACCATTAGTTAAGTCTAATCAGAAAAAGAAAATCCTAATGGTGTATATCTAAGTAAGAAAAATATATATCTGTATCTATCAATAAAATATATGTAGTAGGGGTTTATACATGCAACTCTTTAGTCATTGCATTTGAAGACGTTTAAACCAAAAGTGCTGTGCCAGCTTTTCCTTGAAGATTGTCAGTGTTACGGAATTTTAAAAGTCTGTTTTCAGAAATAGAGACTTTCTTTTTTACCAAAGGAAATTCAAAATAACTAGTTTTAGAAACTTGGTCAAATTCTGCCATAAAACTGAGGAAGCAGAATGAAAGAATTTTATAAAAAAATTCAAACACTGTCTTGAATGTATCATTTTATACTTGAACCTTCTTACTGTGAAACATATTTTTAATTTAACTATGAATGCCAGTTTCTCCTTCGGGGATTCGAAGGGAATGAAAAAATCTACTTGCATATCTGCCTTCCTTCTCTCTTTATTCTTCCCATGTTCCTGCTTCCAAGCTCTCTGGTTCCTCCTTTGGGGTTTGTGTTGCTCCGGGTAGGTGTTTGCTAAATTGTACCACCATTTCCTGTTGACGGTGCACAACTGGGCCCTATCTGGTAGTACTTTTTGTTGTGAGCAGTATGGAAACAGTTGAAGGTGGAAGTGTCCAGAAGTGGGAAACCTCAGCTGAGGAAGTGGCCTGCTGTCTAAAGAAGCTGTTCCTTGTGTTAACTGATGTCCCCTAGGGTGCAGGGTTCATCGAGAATGGTGAATGTGCTGGTCATGCCTGCTGCAGCGTCACAAGCAGTACCACTTGTGAGTGAGCAGTCCATCTCCTCCGGGCACTGTGCGGCCCTCTGGCTGTGGCACTGGGTGGACTGTTTGGTTCAGTGATCTCTAACAGGTCCAGACATGTATCTGTTTTTGCCTCTCCCAACTTGGTTAGGAAAGTCCCTGGGCAACTAGCTTGGATCAGTAGACCCTGTGCTTTCTCCCCGGGGAAGCCTGCCTTGAGCCTCCACCATTTGTGCTCCTAACAGTGCGATGGTGCACCAAACAGTGTGTGGTTAGATCACTGATGCTGTAACTCTTAGCATCATTCATAATCTTAAGATTAGCAGCAGGTGCTGGAACTGTGCCAGCTGTGTAGTAGAGCTAGAAAACATCTCCAGACAGGTGGTAGATATTCAGAACTTCATCTGGACCTAGGATTGTAGTGGGGCGGTCCTCCATGTAGCAGTGGGAGGAAAGGTGTCAGTAGCAAAGGCACAGACATCCTGGGAAGGGAGGCAGTTGGATTTATTGATTTCAGATCAAAAGCTACTTCAGAATACCCCTCCTCCTTTCTTTTTTTTTAAATTACTTTTTGCACCAGAGAATGTGGGATGGAGCAAAATCAGCCAGACCTATAAAGAGCAAATGTAAGATCCAGAGAAGTTGGAGGGATTTAACAAATCCAAGATTAGACTTATAGTCAAGCATCTGGAGTCCTATTGGCCCTTTAACATACAAGTTCAGGTAGCAATCCCTGAGAGTGTAGTTACACCACTCAGGGGAAAGTGGTGTGCACACACCAGACAGGAGCTGTGGAGCATCCTTGCCTGGCTACCACTTCTTTTCTTAGAAGAGAGGGAAATGCAAGCTAAAATTTAGTTTTTATTCTTAAATGCCAAAAGTAAATACATCTAGAGTTTGTTTACATGGAGTTTTCTTTTATGCCAAGTGTGTTTTACTCTACTCACTGCTCTCCAAGCTTGTGGCCGCCAGATCCAGTGTGTCTGTGACTCAACATCCCTGGACTGCTTTAGCCCAGCCAGATAGAGCAGTGGATTAAAACTCCTGCTTTCAGGGAAGGTTTGGCTGGCTGGAGTTGTGGGGATTGAACCACAGCAGCCTGAGCCTGACTGCTTTTTTGAAGCAGCAATTTAAAGAACTGAGCTAAGGGGCAGGC